TGGGAAGCTCCGGCCACATCCCCTCCTTGGAGGGGGCAAATCAGGTCTCCGAGTCCTCCACTCCCCTGTCCTGCTGCTGGGGGTTGTGTGCATGGAGGGAGGGTGGGTGTGTGGGGTTGGTTGTACATTGAATAGCACCGTTTCTCCAGTCTGACATGGGACACTGCCAGAGAGCAGTCGCTCTCACTCCAGGACCGAAGCAGAAGAGGTGGCAGTGATGAAAATGCCAGATTTCTGCCTCTCCGTGCTGCCTGTGCTGAGCTGCTTTCCTCACCCACGGCCCGTGCTGCCACAGCCGCACAAGGGGACCGGTGCTGCTGCGCTTTTGGTGGAGGCAGATCTGTGTGGTAAGGGAGGCTTCCAGCCCTGCGTCCTCCTCATGCTGCTGCTCTGTCCTGGGGGACACGTCCTCCTCTGAGGGTGGCATGGGACCTCGCCCTCCATGGCACCAGGACCTGCTGTGACCTGTTGGGATGTGGCTGAAGGCTCTGGCTGCACCCTCTCATCATCCTCTGTCTCATTTTGTTCTTTTAGGTTGCTTTATTTGTTTGTTTTTAATCTGTTGGATTTGGTTTTATTTTTTTAATGCGGTTGTTTGTATTTTTAACTGTGTGTTCCCCCACCTACCCCAAGGAGGTGCTGCTTGAAATGGGGACACACAATCTGCTTGGGACTCAACAGGATAAAATCTCCAGGGCTGTCCTCCTCCTGGTTCTTCACCCCTGGATGGGGCTGGCATTTGCCAAGTGTCCCCTCTCCCAAAAAATCTCCTGCTCCCCTTGGAATGGAGGTGTCCCTGAGCCAGGCAAAGCCTTGGGGCTTCCTGGCTGCGGTGCAATGGGGGGGCTGGGTGGTGCTTTAGCCTGTGGGTGGGTGTCCAGCACCACTTTAATGGGGTGACAGTGGGGTGTTTGGAAGGATGGTGTGGCCTGTGTACGTGCAAGAAAGGCGTTGAGGGACGAGGGAGCAATATGATGGCAAGAAGGCATCTGGGGTGATGGCTTTTGAGGCTGGGGTGTGACCACTGTGGGTGGTGGCATGGTCAGGGGAAAGAGGCTGGGACCAGGAGCGGTGGCTGCAGAGCTTGCTTTTGGGGGGGAAGTTGCAGGGCAGCATCTCTCCCCTGCTCCACAGCATCCTAACCAAGCCTGAGAAAGGGGGTTCAGCTCCCTACCCACTGCCCTGGTGTTTTGCCACCTACTCTCTTGCTTCTGCTCATTTTCACAGGGGAGCAACTGCTCTTCTCCTCACTTTTGGGTTCTCCAAGCCCTGGGGCTGCCAGACCCTGGTTTGCCTTGTTCTCGCCTGTCCCCAGTCCCAAACCGAGCCCTCTGGCTGCTACCCAGAGCTGACACCCCCTTCCCTGGGGCCAGCACACCTCCATCCACCCCCTTTTCTGTGAAGCACTTTAACGTCGTGGGACAGCAGCTGAGAGGCTGCCCACGTCCCTTTCTAGAAGCACTGAGTATGTATAGAGAAGGGATTTGGGGTTTATTTGTGTTTTCCTCCCTCCACCATGGACTTTGTCTGGAAGCAGTGGGACTTGGGGGGGTCTCCAAGGCACTGACCACTGTGGGTGACACTGGAGCTGGCCAAGGCCGAGAGCTCTGGGTAAGGGAAAGATTTGGGCCACCCCAGCCATAAACTGGAGCCCTCCCTCCGGGATTATTGCACAGCGTAGCAATGAAAATGCCGTCCCTAATAAACTAAGTTAATGCAGGACCCGGTTGTGTCATGGCGTTTCGGCTGGGGTGATGGTGGGTGTCCCCTGGGGTACAGTGGGATGCACCAGTTGATGGCAGGGGGGGACAACTTGTGCAACTGGTGAAGCGTAGCCAGGTGTCACTGGGAGGGGGTTGTCACCACCCCTGGACTAAATCAGCTGGTTTGTGGTCTCCCCCTGCAAACTGCCCTCTGGACCTGGGGCAGAAGGTGCAAGCCATGGAGCAAGGGGCTCTCTCTAACGCCTGTCCCCTTCCCGAGCCTGTCTTTGCCACTGGTAGAGGGGCCCAGAGGTGTGGGTTTGGCTGCCCCATCCCTGTCCCCCGCAGTGTCCTGCATTGCCCCACAAACGCCACAGACAAAGGAGGTACAAACTGGAAACTTTAAAAAACAACTGGAGCCAAGCAGGGCATCCCCGTGGTCAGCACAGCCTGAGGAACCCATTTCTGGGGAAGAGCCCTGCTCAGCCTAAATCTAAGCTGTGCTTAGGAGCAGCAAAGGTGACTTGGGCTTGGTCCTGAGCACAGTGGTTGCAGGAAAGGTTTCCCCATCGACAGCACCTGGGGTGCAAGGTGCGAGCTGGCACCTTGGCAAAGGCACATCTGTCCCAGCACAGAGGGTGCCCCTCACTGGGAGGGCACACGAGGGGCGTAGCGGCGTTCGAACTGGCCCACGTCAAACTTGCGCTTGCAGCCGGCGTAGTTCATGTAGCGGATCTTCCCGAAAATGGCCCGCTCTGCCCAGCCCTGGTCGTGTATGCCGCAGATGGACCAGAGGCAGCCTGCAGGAATGGGGACGGTGTCAACTCCCCCGCCTTGTTTGGCCATTACAGACCCCCCACCCTGCACCCCCATCCTTGCCTACGTATCCGTTGGGGTCCATCCCGTCCAGCTCGTAGCGGTCGTTGAGGTAGATGGCAAACCCCAGGGCTTCCTCAGGAGAGCGGGTCCACTCCAGGATCTTCTTGGCCCAGTACATCCGCAGGAAGCCATGCATCTTGCCCTCCCAGACCATTTGGAGCTGGTGATAAAGGGACAGCCGCAGGGGTCAGTTGGTACCAGCTCGCTTCTGCCCTTCAGAAAAAGGCCCAGATTTTTGTGGGGGGGATGCGGGGCGCTACCTGGGCGGCGTTCCAGAGCGGGTCGTGTGTGGTCCCCTGCTCCAGCTCCTGCAGCTTGTAGAGATACGGCCTCTTGTCTTTGGCATGGAGCTTCAGGGTGGTTTGGGCCCAGTCGTAGGCACCTGTGAGCAACAGAGATGAGGAGCAACACTGAGCAACCTGCTCCTGCAGGACCCCGAGGAAGGGATGGAGAATTGGGCTTCTGAGGGCACCAGCCTTGAAGAGAGCATCTGCCAGCTCATGTCCTACCTCCAGAAGGTACCAAATGATGGTGCATCAGTGCCCTTCTCCTAGCAGAAACGGGATTGCCAAGTTGGGGTGACCAGATGGGTACCAGCCCGGCCCCCAGCATTGCCCACCCGACCCAGGGTGCTACCTTGCACACTGTCATAGTTCTCGTTGTAGTAGCAAAAGTTTTCAGCCAGCTCCCGCCGCACCACGGCCTCCTCCACGAACGCGTCCACTGACTCCTTGTGCTTGCCTCGGTGTTTCTGTACCTCCAGGATGGCTCTTTGGGTGGAAACCTGACCTGGGGACACGGGGAGGGAGCAAATCAGGCTGCGGGTCCAAGCCACCATGCTCAGTCCTGCGGAGTGAGGGACACTCACCAAAATGCAGCCATGGGGACAGGTTGCTGAGCGCCGCCTTGTTGGGGTCGTTCCGGTGGGAGCCAAAGGATTTCAGCCGCTCCACGATGAAGGACTGGAGCACGGCCATTCCTGCAGCTGTGCCGGGGGTCGCCCACCGCACCTCCTTCACGCTGCGGTCCACCTGCAGGCTGGAATAACAGGCCTCCCATGCGATGGGCTGGGTGGCAACCAAGCGGCGTGAGTGCATTTGCAGATGTCCCCAGCCAACATGTCCCCAGATTGTGCTAGCCTCCTCCTCTTAACCAGCCCTGCATGGCGATGTGGGAGCCTCCCTTTCCCGGGGCATCCCCATCTCCACACCACCTGAGGTCAGGCCACTGTCCCCATCCCCTCCCAAGATCCCAAAGCAGCTGTGAAACTCTCCAGGACTGGCTGTGAGGGGGTGTAGAGGTGTTTTCTGCTGTTACCTCTGCTGGACAGGATGGGGGATACGGGTGACGAATGACGGGAGGGAACTCAGTGAGGAACTCAGGGAGCTGAGCGTGGATCTTGCCCCGGATGGTCCGGGCACTGTACTCCTGTTTGGGGGAAGCGACCCAGCAGGGCACAATGTTGTGGGCATCAACCTGGGAAGAAAAGCCATGGAGGAGGGCGTGAGCAGGAGAAGCAAACGATCCCGATGGCATGACAAACATTTTCTGACAGAACAGAACATTTTCTGACAGGCACCCACCTGCACGAATGGCACATCCTCTGGCAACCGCTCCCTGATGTCCTCCACCCACTGCCGGGGGAGGCGGAGGGGGCAGAAGTCGGTCACCAGCCCACCCACGCTGTGCTCCACCACGAACTGGGGCAGCACATCCTTGGCGTAGCCCAGCAGCAAGTGGAAGGGGATGTTCAGCTCTGTGCACTCCTGCAGCGAGGGGAAAAGGGCTATGGGAGGCTCTGCAGACCCCGTCCCACCGCCACCACCCGCTGAAGGGATGGATCTGCCTCCACCCTTCCCCAGGAGCCCTGACCCTGCTTTGTCCCCACATCTCCATACCTCAGCCACCTCCTTCAGGCCCCTCAGCATGAAGCCATAGTGGCGGATGGTGGCATCCAGGAATTTGGGCACCAGGCAGAAGCAGATGCGCAGAGGCAGCTCCTGCTTGAGGGCCAGGCGCTGGGCGTAGAGGAAAGCCCAGTTATCTGAGGAGAAAGCACATGG